TCACATTCAGTATCCAGTGAGAAAAGATTTTTTTTTGATTTTTTACAAAATGCCCCCAAAACTTCAACGTTTTCCATAGCCGCCATCATCAAAAAAGTCAGTTTTTGTCCCAAAAATCCAACTTTAACCAAATTTCATCAAAAGTTGACACGGGGTGCCTAGAGGCCAGAATTGAATTCCCTGAAGAGTTCAACTCATTACATTCAGTATCCAGTGAGAAAAGAATTTTTTGATTTTTTACAAAATGCCCCCAAAACTTCAACGTTTTCCATAGCCAGCATCATCGAAAAAGTCAGTTTTTGACCCAATAATCCAACTTCACCAAATTTCCTCAAAAGTTAACACGAGGTGCCTAAAGGCCAGAATTGAATTCCCTGAAGAGTTCAACTCATTACATTCAGTATCAAGTAAGAAAAGACAATTTTTGATTTTTTACAAATGCCAGGAAAACTTCCAACGTTTTCCATAGCCGGCATCATCAAAAAAGTCAGTTTTTGACCCAAAAATCCACCTTCACCACATTTCCTCAAAAGTTCACTCGAGGTGCCTAGAGGCCAGAATTGAATGCCCTGAAGAATTCAACTCATTACATTCAGTATCAAGTGAGAAAAGACAAATTTTTGATTTTTTACAAAATGCCCCCAAAACTTCAACGTTTTCCATAGCCGGCATCATCGAAAAAGTCGGTTTTTGTCCCAAAAATCCAACTTCACCAAATTTCCTCAAAAGTTCACACGAGGTGCCTAGAGGCCAGAATTGAATTCCCCTGAAGAGTTCAACTCATCACATTCAGTATCCAGTGAGAAAAGAATTTTTTTGATTTTTTACAAAATGCCGCCAAAACTTCAACGTTTTCCATAGCCGGCATCATCGAAAAAGTCAGTTTTTGACCCAAAAATCCAACTTCACCACATTTCCTCAAAAGTTCACACGAGGTGCCTAGAGGCCAGAATTGAATTCCCTGAAGAGTTCAACTCATTACATTCAGTATCCAGTGAGAAAAGAAAATTTGTGATTTTTTACAAAATGCCCCCAAACTTCAACGTTTTCCACAGCTGGCATCATCGAAAAAGTCAGTTTTTGACCCAAAAATCCAACTTCACCAAATTTCCTCAAAAGTTCACACCAGGTGCCTAGAGGCCAGAATTGATTCCCTGAAGAGTTCAACTCATCACATTCAGTATCCAGTGAGAAAAGAAAGATTTGAGATTTTTTACAAAATGCCCCCAAAACTTCAACGTTTTCCATAGCCGGCATCATCGAAAAAAGTCAGTTTTCGACCCAAAAATCCAACTTCACCAATTTTCCTCAAAAGTTCACTCGAGGTGCCTAGAGGCCAGAATTGAATTTCCTGAAGAGTTCAACTCATCACATTCAGTATCCAGTGAGAAAAGATTTTTTTTTTGATTTTTTACAAAATGCCCCCAAAACTTCAACGTTTTCCATAGCCGGCATCATCGAAAAAGTCAGTTTTTGTCCCAAAAATCCAACTTCACCAAATTTCCTCAAAAGTTGACACGAGGTGCCTAGAGGCCAGAATTGAATTCCCTGAAGAGTTCAACTCATTACATTCAGTATCCAGTGAGAAAAGAAAAATTTGAGATTTATTAGAAAATGCCCCCAAAACTTCAACGTTTTCCATAGCCGGCATCATCGAAAAAGTCAGTTTTTGACCCAAAAATCCAACTTCACCAAATTTCCTCAAAAGTTCACACGATGTGCCTAGAAGCCAGAATTGAATTTCCTGAAGAGTTCAACTCATCACATTCAGTATCCAGTGAGAAAAGATTTTTTTTGATTTTTTACAAAATGCCCCCCAAAACTTCAACGTTTTCCATAGCCGCCATCATCAAAAAAGTCAGTTTTTGTCCCAAAAATCCAACTTTAACCAAATTTCATCAAAAGTTGACACGGGGTGCCTAGAGGCCAGAATTGAATTCCCTGAAGAGTTCAACTCATTACATTCAGTATCCAGTGAGAAAAGAAATTTTTTGATTTTTTACAAAATGCCCCCAAAACTTCAACGTTTTCCATAGCCAGCATCATCGAAAAAGTCAGTTTTTGACCCAATAATCCAACTTCACCAAATTTCCTCAAAAGTTAACACGAGGTGCCTAAAGGCCAGAATTGAATTCCCTGAAGAGTTCAACTCATTACATTCAGTATCAAGTAAGAAAAGACAATTTTTGATTTTTTACAAATGCCAGGAAAACTTCCAACGTTTTCCATAGCCGGCATCATCAAAAAAGTCAGTTTTTGACCAAAAATCCACCTTCACCACATTTCCTCAAAAGTTCACTCGAGGTGCCTAGAGGCCAGAATTGAATGCCCTGAAGAATTCAACTCATTACATTCAGTATCAAGTGAGAAAAGACAAATTTTTGATTTTTTACAAAATGCCCCCAAAACTTCAACGTTTTCCATAGCCGGCATCATCGAAAAAGTCGGTTTTTGTCCCAAAAATCCAACTTCACCAAATTTCCTCAAAAGTTCACACGAGGTGCCTAGAGGCCAGAATTGAATTCCCCTGAAGAGTTCAACTCATCACATTCAGTATCCAGTGAGAAAAGAATTTTTTTTGATTTTTTACAAAATGCCGCCAAAACTTCAACGTTTTCCATAGCCGCATCATCGAAAAAGTCGTTTTTGTCCCAAAAATCCAACTTCACCAAATTTCCTCAAAAGTTCACACGAGGTGCCTAGAGGCCAGAATTTGATTCCCTGAAAAGTTCAACTCTTTACATTCAGTTTCCAGTGAGAAAAGAAAAATTTGAGATTTTTTACAAAATGCCGCCAAAACTTCAACGTTTTCCATAGCCGGCATCATCGAAAAAGTCGGTTTTTTGTCCCAAAAATCCAACTTCACCAAATTTCCTCAAAAGTTCACACGAGGTGCCTAGAGGCCAGAATTGAATTCCCCTGAAGAGTTCAACTCATCACATTCAGTATCCAGTGAGAAAAGAATTTTTTTTGATTTTTTACAAAATGCCCCCAAAACTTCAACGTTTTCCATAGCCGGCATCATCGAAAAAGTCGGTTTTTGTCCCAAAAATCCAACTTCACCAAATTTCCTCAAAAGTTCACACGAGGTGCCTAGAGGCCAGAATTGAATTCCCCTGAAGAGTTCAACTCATCACATTCAGTATCCAGTGAGAAAAGAATTTTTTTTGATTTTTTACAAAATGCCGCCAAAACTTCAACGTTTTCCATAGCCGGCATCATCGAAAAAGTCAGTTTTTGACCCAAAAATCCAACTTCACCAAATTTCCTCAAAAGTTCACATGAGGTGCCTAGAGGCCAGAATTGAATTCCCTGAATAGTTCAACTCATCACATTCAGTATCCAGTGAGAAAAGAACAAATTTTGATTTTTTTACAACATGCCCCCAAAACTTCAACGTTTTCCATAGCCGGCATCATCGAAAAAGTCAGTTTTTGACCCAAAAATCCAACTTCACCAAATTTCCTCAAAAGTTCACACGAGGTGCCTAGAGGCCAGAATTTGATTCCCTGAAAAGTTCAACTCTTTACATTCAGTTTCCAGTGAGAAAAGAAAATTTGAGATTTTTTACAAAATGCCCCCAAAACTTCAACGTTTTCCATAGCCAGCATCATCGAAAAAGTCAGTTTTTGACCCAAAAATCCAACTTCACCAAATTTCCTCAAAAGTTCACACGAGGTGCCTAGAGGCCAGAATTGAATTTCCTGTAGAGTTCAACTCATCACATTCAGTATCCAGTGACAAAAGAATTTTTTTTGATTTTTTACAAAATGCCCCCAAACTTCAACGTTTTCCATAGCCGGCATCATCGAAAAAGTCGGTTTTTGACCCAAAAATCCAACTTCACAAAATTTCCTCAAAAGTACACACGAGGTGCCTAGAGGCCAGAATTGAATTCCTGAAGAGTTCAACTCATCACATTCAGTATCCAGTGAGAAAGATTTTTTTTTTTGATTTTTTACAAAATGCCCCCAAAACTTCAACATTTTCCATAGCCGGCATCATCGAAAAAGTCAGTTTTTGTCCCAAAAATCCAACTTCACCAATTTCCTCAAAAGTTGACACGAGGTGCCTAGAGGCCAGAATTGAATTCCCTGAAGAGTTCAACTCATTACATTCAGTATCCAGTGAGAAAAGACAAATTTTTGATTTTTTTTCAAATGCCAGGAAAACTTCAACGTTTTCCATAGCCGGCATCATCGAAAAAGTCGGTTTTTGACCCAAAATCCAACTTCACCAAATTTCCTCGAAAGTTCACACGAGGTGCCTAGAGGCCAGAATTGAATTCCCTGAAGAGTTAAACTCTTTACATTCAGTTTCCCGTGAGAAAAGAAAAATTTGAGATTTTTTATAAAATGCCCCCAAAACTTCAACGTTTTCCATAGCCGGCATCATCGAAAAAGTCAGTTTTTGTCCCAAAAATCCAACTTCACCAAATTTCCTCGAAAGTTCACACGAGGTGCCTAGAGGCCAGAATTGAATTCCCTGAAGAGTTCAACTCATTATATTCAGTATCCAGTGAGAAAAGACAATTTTTTGATTTTTTACAAAATGCCCCCAAAACTTCAACGTTTTCCATAGCCGGCATCATCAGAAAAAGTCAGTTTTTTACCCAAAAATCCAACTTCACCAAATTTCCTCAAAAGTTCACACGAGGTGCCTAGAGGCCAGAATTGAATTCCCTGAAGGGTTCAACTCATTACATTCAGTATCCAGTGAGAAAAGAAAATTTTTAAAATTTTTACAAAATGCCCCCAAAACTTCAACGTTTTCCATAGGAGGCATCATCAAAAAAGTCAGTTCGCTGCTATGGCCAGAAAGCTAACCATGGAACCTGTAATGGCCAGATCCTCTGATTTCCCCGAAAAATTGTGTTTACTATCAAATCTTCCACCTTTTATGCCCCACCATGCTAGGGCTGTGACATTTCTTTTTGAGTACCCATTCAAACTTATCCGTTTTATTTCAGCTGGTACAACATTCTTGAACATGTATCTTACCCGTGCTGCCCGGTCTTCAATGTATCGTTCGTAGTCGTCTTGGTAATAATCATCCTCCTCTTGGCTATACCCGTCCTCCGATATCGTCGGGTCAAACATCTCGACCAGGTAGGGCATGCAGGTCATCCGACGCACAGGGTCATTGCTGTCGGGGAGAGCAGGAAGGGTCACGGCTTCCCCTACCCTGGGGTAGGTTTTCCGCACCCACCTGGTTGGGGGGGGGGGGGGGGGGGAGGGGGAATATAAGAAAAACTGAAGATTTCTGTCCTACACTGAATTAGCCTGGTTTAAATATAACAACAAAATAATACAAATTACACTCAGTCTTATCAGCCACAAACATCATGTTCCCGTGAGGGTGTAAACCCATGTACCATCACACAGTTAATAACTGTTGACTGCTGTGATGTGGGATAGGGTATTTTTCAGAGTTGTAGTCGAGTACCTTCCGAGTACCAGCTTAGCTACCAGAGATTATGATGGTTTAGTATAGAGAAAGCTGCATAATGCAGACACTGGACAGTAAATCCCCACCAAAGAAATTAAACACTTTAGACAATCAGAATCTTGTACAAACTAACCTTTTAAGACAAAAGTATTCGGAAAGTACTCGGCGAGTAATTTTCAAGTACTTTTAGGGTACTTCTGTCCCAAAAGGTGAATTAAAAAGGGGTTTTATATAACCAAAGTCTCAAATTATTATTTTTTTTCTCTAACACTGACTTCATTTTGCTGTCTACTGTCAATGTTTCTCTTGTGTTGTTCACAAGAAACAGCTCAATATTTGGTTTAATAAACTAAGTACTCGGAAAGTACTCGACTACAACTCTGGTATTTTTTAACACCCAAGGGGTGTATAGCAACCGAAAAGGTGAATTAAAAAGGGTTTTATATAACCAAAGTCTCAAATTATTATTTTTTTCCTCTAACACTGACTTCATTTTGCTGTCTACTGTCAATGTTTCTCTTGCGTTGTTCACAAGAAAACAGCTCAATATTTGGTTTAATAAACTAAGTACTCGTAAAGTACTCGACTACAACTCTGGTATTTTTTAACACCCAAGGGTGTATAGCAACCGAAAAGGTGAATTAAAAAGGGGTTTATATAACCAAAGTCTCAAATTATTATTTTTTTCTCTAACACTGACTTCATTTTGCTGTCTACTGTCAATGTTTCTCTTGTGTTGTTCACAAGAAACAGCTCAATATTTGGTTTAATAAACTAAGTACTCGTAAAGTACTCGACTACAACTCTGGTATTTTTTAACACCCAAGGGGTGTATAGCAACCGAAAAGGTGAATTAAAAAGGGGTTTTATATAACCAAAGTCTCAAATTATTATTTTTTTTCTCTAACACTGACTTCATTTTGCTGTCTACTGTCAATGTTTCTCTTGTGTTGTTCACAAGAAACAGCTCAATATTTGGTTTAATAAACTAAGTACTCGGAAAGTACTCAACTACAACTCTGGTATTTTTTAACACCCAAGGGGTGTATAGCACCCGAGACGAAGCCGAGGCTGCTATGTGCCCCAAGGTGTAACTTTTTGAAAATTGCAAGCTTTCCTCCTAGACATGAGACTGAGCGTGTGCAGTTCTCAGTCGCGAAGCGCGCATGGGCCGGTCCTACACACAAGCGCAACGCAGAGGTTATTTACATGCAATGCAGTGTATATGAGGTAATTTATATGCAAAGTAGTGTACATGTATATGGGGTAATTTACATACAAAGTAGTGTATATTAGGTAATTTATAGGCAACGTAGTGTATATGAAGTAAACCATCATATATTTTTTTACTGGACACGTGGCCGTTCTAGACTAATCGCATAATATCCAAATCACGATATAATAATAAACACTTGACCACGGCATAGGTTAAATCTGGGCAGCAGTTACTATCAATGTCAAGAAGGATTTTTAGAAAGCACGATTTTGTCTCCAGCTTGGGCTTCAAGGCGAAGATGCAACTGAAGCTGGGGACAAAACCAAAGTTTAACAACACTTGGGGCACGTCTTCCACAGAGGGCTACATCCATACTCACTTGTGGTTTCTGACTCCTTGAGTATCAAGCCTTTCATCAGGATTTGTCTTCAACATTCCTGTAAAAGGGGGAAAGAAAGGGGCTGTTAATTTATCATAACAAATTTAATTTCCAATAATAAAATAATAATAATAATAATTTGGGAGGCTAATCATCCTTACTCGCAGCTGGGATGCTGAATTGCGAAGGACGCGGCTACAACGTGGTCGGGCCGCTGGCACGTAAAGGCGCCTATGGCTACTGGCCACATCAACCCATATATGACCACGGAGCACAGCCTGAGATCGAAAGTGTTTGATTTTTCCGGAGGGAGGAAAACCGGAGGGCCCGGAGAAAAACCCACGTGGCACAGGAGAGAACCAACGCACAACTCTACTCACATGTGATCCGCGGCCAGGATGCGAACCGTGGTCACCTTGGTGAGAGGCGAGTGCTTTACGCACAAGCCACCCAAATGTACTTTTTGTACTTATTCAGAGCAAATGGTTGGATCAGGTGATCAGGTGCGAAGGGTGTGATCCATCATCCAGGAAATTGTGGTGACCCGGGACGCTCATTACTTTTCCAATTGAAACTTCTTTTTGGTGCTAACTACCCTTGCCGCCCCTTCACTGTACAGTAGCCAGCTAAGTCTGCATGTGTTTTGTTTTCGTGAGAGGGGACTAGCTCTGCTCGACTTCAAAAATATACAATGGCAAATTGATTGCAATTTGGTAAATTAGGGAACAGTTGGGCACTGGTACAGAAATAGAATCGCACACCAGCAAAGAGGGCAGCCAGCCACTATGGCATGGCAGTTCTCTTCGGTGATTTTGGTATTTATTTTTTTTCCATGTAGAAATCTTTAGAAACTCCACGTCTCTCATTTGTAAGTTTGCAATCGCTGACAAAAAACATCGCCCGTGTTGAGCTGCAATAAATACAAGTACTCAACGGTAAAATTCTCCGCTTTAGGTGCGAAGGACGTAATCCATCATCCAGGAAATTGTGGTGACCCAGGACGCTACTTTGAAAGCAAATATACAGTCTGGTTCCCTGAACATACGATCCCTTGACGGCTCTTGTTATGATCGCATATCAGGTAGCTGTCACATTAGGCAATTGAAAATGACCAGCAAAGCCCTGCTCTTGTCCGAGTGCAAACTCGAAGCATAGATATTAAATACAGATACTGGACGATAGGCCTTGGGCAAATGCAATTTCAATTTTCAGGGCTGAAAACAAGAATGACGGGCATTTGGTTGGTAAATACAACCATTTTACAAAATGTACACCCGGAAACACCCAAGCTATCTTGACCATCTCCGAGTGTCAACAAATGCATGTTTGGCAAACTTTGCCATTTTTTTGGAATCAGGAGGAATCTTGCCTATTGCTGGTCATGTGATATTGCCTAGTACCTGACCTTATCGATATGTCAGACTAGTCAGAGTCAGGTCGGGGAACAAGACTATAATAGAGCTGGACACTGAATCATACCAGTCAGAAGGTCGGCAAGGAGTGGCGAGATGTTGTCCGGCATGGTGAAGTGACCCTTGCCAATGTTCTCAAACAATCGGTAGATGTTGTCGCCTTCGAAGGGGAATGTTCCAGTGGTGATGTTGAATCTGTGGACGAAAAGAACGTATATATTTTCCGCTTTGTAGGTCTACAAAAAGTGGGTCCTAGTATTAAAGATGTGAGCCCTGTGCTCTTCTCCTGACAAATATTCAAAATGTACGTACAACTTTTGGTTAAAAAATATTTTCGTCAACCAATTCGCGTCGGAGGACGCAATAACACGCACTGGCTGTTTTTATACACAGGCACGAATGCCGGGTTAAAACGTCAATATTGCCTCGACTCGCCTCCGGGTGATGTCTAAACATGTAAACCCTTGTGTCTTTTCTAGACACACACAAAGTTTGTGAAGTCTGTGTGCGGATCTTGTCCGTGTGATCTGATACACCGTGCCCTCTAGAGACATGCACACAATGGGAACAAAAGATTGTATACGTCTCCACAGGGCAATTTCTACAGATGAATACGTCTCCACAAGGTTTTCACGAAATAGATATATGGATTTTACTCAAAAATTAGGAATTTCCAAGGTATGTTGATCCGTCACAAGTGGTAGAGTTTTAGAAAAGGGATATTAATTTCGAATTTCAGCCAAGGAAATTCATTCTGGTTAAAATAAGACCATTTAGAAGCTGTACTTTCAAACTTGAAAACTTTAGTACACAAGAACAAAGAAATGTCTCCACAAGGATACAATTTCTGTATGTGTGTTGATCCTGAATTGGCCGTTGTGCACGGCCTATTGTTCAACAACTTACGCCCCGGTGCACACCTCAGAGTATTGAAACATATGAGGTTTCGGCAAGAAATATCGTACAAATGCTGTTGAAATGACTCCCACAAATCAGTAATTGTGGCATCTGCTGTATATCAGAAGTTGGCTGGTAAATGTCGCCTTTTTGCAAAATCGACATTTTCGGAAAAAATAATCCCGGCGCAAAGTGGTTAACAATTTTGGGAAATCTGCAACCCTGTGAAAAAAAGGCTTTTGTTTTGTGCATAAATGAACCCACCCTGGAGATAGAGCCGAGTTACTGCAGGGCCGCAACTAACTTGAATTTTGTAAAAACATAATTTAGTAACCAAACGTCCGTGTATTTTTTTGTTCGACGTCTCATTCAAAAGTGAACAACTAGACAACGGAGACTCTTTTTTGCAATGAAATTTGAAATAGCAAATATACAATAGGAGAATGTATTTTTAAATAAGCTATTTTCTTAGAATTTAGATTTTTATTGAGGGAAAAGAATTAAGGCAATACTCACAGTGTGATACCAGATGACCAGACATCCACCTTGAATCCTGAGAAACATTCAAGTCCGTTGGCAATCTCTGGTGGTTGGAACGCCGGCGAACCTTGGCTCGTCCGACACGTATCATCTTTGGTATAGAGGTCAAGTAGCTGGAGGGAAACAGGAAAGAAGGCAAAAATTCAATAAAATATAGCCATGTTTTTATATTAAAATACATTCCTAAATACCTAAGGCCGATTAAAAAAAACCCCAAAAAACAGTTGATCGTCCCCGCCGCATCCTTTTTTGAAGATGCATCATTTTTTTATTTCATATTTTTTCTCTCACCTCAAAAAGCTAACTTTTTCTTGTACAATATTTATTTTGTCTATACTTACATTACTATAATTAGGAAAGCTAATTGCAAGCTTGCGGTCATTTGAACCAAAGTTGGCAGCCATTTTTAATTTAACTTGGCAGCCATCTTGGAAAAAATAATATAAAAAAATACAAAAAAAAGGCCCTCATCCTCCCCTCTTTGAAAAAAAAAAACCTGGATGATCAACTGGGTTATTTTTTTACTTGGTTTAAGACAATTTACCCATTTTTACATGTACTGGTCGAGAGCCTATCACGTGGGTGGTTTTAAACGGTTGATGAAACACCGACTGGTTTCAAACACTTTTTTTCCCCAGAGTCACATGAAATTTGGACTCCTGTGAAATCTGTTCCCTTTACCATTCTGTTGGTTGAACCATCAAATGTGACCAGTCACTCTCCTCATTATATTCACTTGGGCAATACTAATGAGTCCAGATTTCATAGAGTCCTAAATTTACGCTACACCGGCACCCAGTGGCGTATCCAGAGGGGGACAGAGGGGGCACTCTGCCCCCCCCCCCCCCCCCCCCGCCGGCTATTTTTAACAACATTTTTTGTTCAGCAATTATTTTAATATTAGAGAGTTCCGACATCAATCCCAAAACGGAAAACCCGCTAAAAAAAACATGACAATGCGCCTTAAAAATGGGGATATAATTTGCAGTATGCATAATATTGGTCAGTTTTGAAGAGCGCCCCCATTTGGAAGGTGGGTCCCCCCCCCCCCCACACTATTTGATTTTATGGGAGGCCAAGTGCCCAGAGAAAAAACATGTCTACATTTTGGCGCGGATGTGCGGTGCCCCCTGACATCCAAAAGCTGGATATGCTACTGCCGACAACGCTGCATTTTGCGCCGCATAACGCAGCACGGTCAAGAAAAGTCTGGAAAGAATGCATTCAACATGATGATTACGATTAAGACATGAAGCACACATTTGTTTTGGCCCCCCAAAATGGCACCCTACAAGCTCATGTATAGTGACTTCAGCCTAAAATGGAGTGAGATGGCCTAGCGGTTAAGAGCACTGGACTCATGCTCTGGTGTTTCAGAGGCAACATGGCGTGGGTTCGAGCCCGGCCTGGACCCTTGTGCCCTTAAGCAAGGCACTAAACCGTTATTGCTTCGAATGGACGTAAAGCCGTAGGTCCCGTGTGTTGTGTAATGCACGTACATGTAAAAGAACCCAGTAATGTTATCGCTAAGAGAAGGGGTTCGCCAGAGTTTCTGGCAGTTATCCTCATACATATGAGGCTGCAAGGAAGGACAGGTCTAAAGTTGGTGCGATATTTTTAAGTGAATTTTACCGACTCAACCAGAACCAGAACCAGATATCTACCAACTATCCAGTCAGTAGATAGATCGTGGAAAAGAATCTACATAACTTAAAGTACATCAGGATCTAAAGACTAAATGGCACTTAGGATGGGGACATTTGGGTGCTAGGGTGGGGGGCCGTGGGTGCGTGAGTGGGGTGGGGGAAGGGGGGAGGGGATAGTGAAGGTACAACCTCATTCCCACGTTTACCTCTGCCACTCCAAGATCGGAGATCTTGAGGGTTCCGGAGGTTGTCAGTAGCAGGTTGCTGGGTTTGATGTCTTTGTGTATGATGCCCTGGCTGTGAATGTACTCCAGACCATTGGCCAGCTGCACAAAATATCTGCACCAAAAACGAAATAGAGACAAAGTATGATTTATTTATAGGATCTTAAAGAGAATATACATCATTTGCTTTTGCTGTATTTTTCAGAAATAAATGGATTTGGAGGGTTGGTAATTATAGCGAATATTGTTACACTGACTTTCTTGACGTTTTGGGCTCGTAGATATTATAAAACCAAGAAAAACAACCATTTTCCCGTCGTCTGGTTCCCTGACTCCATTTAAGATGAAACAGAGCAATTTATAGACATTTGGGAATTGTTAGTTCAAGGAACCAGCCTAGCTGGCTTGTACCCGTTCATAGGTGTGTAATCAATTGGACACAATGCGGACTAACTCAATATGGTCAATTAGGGCCAGTATTTAAAAAAAAACACCAGTTTTTTCCAACGCTGGTCAGCCGACCAGCGTTGGAAATTGATATGAAAATACCACTTTTCTTGAAAATGACAGTATACCAGGTGCCATGATTTTACAGGATGTTTTAGACTGTCATTCACTAATAGTCCAGCAGTCCAGCAAGGTATTTCAAAATAATGTGATAGTTTCATTTTTTGATGTTTGCAAATGTTGTATTTTCCCTTAAATGGGGCCTGTAAGCCATTTATGTCGATTCTATATACCATTTGTATGTAAAATCTGAATAGGTGGTGGGGGGGGGGGGGGGGGGGCCGGCTGACGTCATCTGATGAAAACGTCATCAACATCAAGACATCTGTACAAGAAAGCAGGATGTCGTGGGTTCAAGTCCCACCCGATTGATTTTTTTTTCAACTTTCACTTGGGAGATAACACTGAGTATGTAGTGTTTAAACGTTGGTGACGGGCAAAACCTAATTTGGGTTACATCACCCGACACAAAATTCCATCTTATCAATAATTGATGAAAACGTCTATTTTTTTTCCACACTAGTTTTTCACTTGTTGTTATGTGATAGCATTCAGCACTCCAGACTCGAGAACCGTACATATGGGAGCTACAATGTATAAGTAAATGTGAACGAATTCCCCGACGGCCGCGCCTACATGCACCGATACCTATAATATCAAGCACACTGATTGATATGCTCTATTGTTGGACTCATGCCAATTACACAACAGTATAGCTATTTATATCACATGATTTGGGGTGAGCTTTTGCGTACGTGTAAAGATGCTACAAACTAATGCACAGAAAAGATCTGTCAATATCACGAGTTGCAGGTTACCAGCCAAAATGTCATGGAATGGATATCAAAACTGACTGGTTCTCCACTAACGGCGGATCCAGGGTGGTGTGTCGTGGGCGTTTGCCCTGCCGGCAGCGACCGAACTTTTCTCAAATAAAGCCATTTTTCTCTTGAGAGAGCCCTTCTGTCTCCCCCCTCCCCCCCGGCACACCCTACCCATCCCCATCCCCCCCCCCCCCCCCCCCGGCAGTCTAGATCCGCCCTAATCCACTGATTTTTGGAAGAAATAATGGATGTTTTTTATGGCCTGGGAAGAAATGGGCCATGTCCAGAAATGGGTAGCCTCTGTGGCTACAGCTATTAAACATATGATCCTATGGGGAAAACGAAAACCATAGCCAAAAACTATCCAATTTGAGCATGGCTGCATGACCTTATTAAAAGGGCCTATACTTGAGTGGACCATTTGCAGCTATCCAAAAAGTAATGCCCAAATTACTGTTAAAGGGAATATACATCATTTGCTTTTGCTGTAATTTTCAGAAATGGATGGAATTGGGGGGTTGGAAATATATAGCAAATATAGTTACACTGACTTTTTTGAGGTTTTGGGTTCGAAAATGCTATAAAAACCAAGAAAAACAATCATTTTCCTGTAGTCTGGTTCCCTGACTCCATATAAGAAGAAACAGAGCAGTTTACATACATTGGGGAATTGCAAGGTCAGGGAACCAGTCTAGCTGGCTTGTACCTGTTCATAGGTGTGTAATTGATTGCAAACAAGTGCGATGGTCAATTGGGGCCAGTATTTGAAAAAAAGCCAGTTTTTTTCCAACGCTGGTCGGCCGACCAGCGTTGGAAATTGATACAAAAATACCACTTTTCTTGAAAATGACAGTATACCAGGTGCCATGATTTTACAGGATGCTTTACACTGTCATTCACTAACAGTCCAGCACTTGAGGTATTTCAAAATGATTTGGTGAGTTTTATTTTTTTATGTTTGCAAATGTTGTATTTTCCCTTTAAAAAGCTTACTTTTGGTTTAAAGATAGTACTGACACTAAACTCCCTGTGAAATTATTCCTTCTTGCATGCTGTCATTTTCAAGAAAACAATAACAGAAGGTTATTTCCAAAGATGTGTCACGTGACACATTTTGAAACTTCCATTTGTACATGTACTTGGTTTGTAATTGGGCGAATCCGTAAATGGGTGCAATCGTTGAAATGATCGACGCACACGCGCGGCTGCTATTATTCGTCGATTCAGTGTGTGACACCACGTAGCTGCAATCGGCTACATGAGAATCGTGTCCCAAATGCTGATTTCGGGATTGTGTCACAAGAGGGCGCAATTCAAAATACGACACAGCAACATCTGAACTGAAATCAAGATCCAGAATATTGTGTTAAAATTATCGAAATATACAGCATTCACAGAGCTAAGACTTCATCGGGTTAGTTGTTAGGTGCCCGTCATTAGAGTTTGAGCACTTCTGTTACTAGCCCCATAAATGTGGCCAATTTACTGGACTACCTCTGTAAATAAAGGCCACGCTTCCACCGTGTACAAAAACATGTAGAACTTTGTCAAATTTTGAGTTTCAAATTTAGGCTTAGTTTGTAGTTTATTTTTGCTTTAGAAGCATACCGGTACTAACCCTCTTCATAGGCTAATCAGAAAGTGCTGCCTTTTTCAGATGTCTACTTTTCGTGAAATTTCATGTTGAAATTTTGATACGCAAACGTGTGCAAACGAATCTGGTAATTTCACCAAAAATAGACATCTGAAAAAAGCAGCACTTTCTGATTAGCCTATAAAGAGGGTGAGTATGCTTCTAAAGCAAAAAAAACCCTACAAACTAAGCCTAAATGTGAAAATCAAAATTTGACAAAGTTCTACATGTTTTTGTACATGTTCCAAGTGTGGCCTTTATTTACAGAGGTAGTCCAGTAAATTGGCCACATTTATGGGGCTATTCTGTTACCTTCTTCAAACGAAAAAATTCACAGTCACTTAATGACAAATGGTCCTAGAAGTTTCTACCTTTAAATGTACATTGTACCATGACAATATGGCTTAAAATGCTCTACTGGAGATATGCATAATGAAAGGAATTAATCTTTCAAGGACAGTACTCAAATGAAAACATGTATGATATACCCAGTAGTACATGTACATACTCTGCTATTCTCAAAACAAGCTCGCTAATTACATGTTTACGGATGTACATGTCTTATACTTGTAAATGCTGTGTACACGTAATATGGTACATAGGTGAATGAGGTTGCAGCATCCAGTTTCGTTGCCATGGCAACTCGGACGAGGTGATTGTTATCAGCGTCAGGTTGCCTTCTCATGTTGCACTCTGCTGGAATTCCACTTGCGTGACTTGCTTGTAGGGCATCGTCTGACAATCCTTTGGGTCTGGAATCCTCTTATTTTTCTCCTCTTTTTTCAGTTGGTTGCAAAATTAGGCCACTCGAAATTTTGTGTTTATCGTTAAAGCTCAGTGTGCAATTTTTACTAAGAATTAGCTTAAAGTTGCATTCCCGGAGCTCTTTAACAATTCATTATTTTCTATTAAAAGCCTAACCCCCTAGACTTTTGTTGATGAATGGAGCAACATTTCAGAGATGACAGCTCCCTCCCCAGTAAACACTCCCTCTCCATCATGATTTTTGATTTTTTTTTTTGGGGGGGGGGATTCAGAGTCTTTGATTTTTGTCCTTGTTCAATGCTTTCAAGGGGCATCAAGTTCTACGTAGTGTAATTCGGTAGTGGCTAAGATGTACCTTCTTTTAATAGTGTGAAATCCCCCTGGTGGATGTGGAAGCATCTGGGAGGGGGGGGGGGTGTTCAGGGTTAATGGTTAAAAAAAAGTCCAATGTCAGGCCAAAACAGCAGGTAGTTTATCTCAAATACAGCATATTAGAGTTTTTCCCAACAATGTTGGGAATGTTGCCAAAATTCTGGATCGACCAAAATTCTACCACTTTGCGTTTTAAACTAAATGCCTTTTCAGATTGCGAAGTGCTATCTGGGTGCAAGTGGGATACGTTGGTTCATTAAATAATTATAGCGTGACATACCGGTACAGTACGCAAATAATTGCATGTCACGTTATTAATATTCACGAACCAACCCACTTGCGACTAGGTATGGTTTCCCTTTCAGATATGGGTCATTCCTTTTCCTGTTACCTTGGTACTTTAGTTTTGTCATTCAAGTATCATTACGAATGACGTCAAATAAGTTTTTTTATTAGTTGGGTGAGTAGTTTGTTATTAATCACTCTTGGAAGACGACTGCATTAAAGGGAATGTACATCATTGGCATTTGCTGTAATTTTCAGAAATTAACTATTTGAGGGGTTAGTACATGTATAATGGATCAAATATTGTTACACTGACATGTTTGAAGTTTTGTGATGGAAAATGCTGGAAAAACCAAGAAAAAACAAAAATGTTCAAGTAGTCTGGTTCCCTGACTCCACTGAAGATGAAATGGATCAATTTACAGATGCCGGAAAATTGTAAGGTAAGGGAACCAGTTGTAGCTGGCCTGCACCCGTTCATGAACATGTAACCAATAGCAAACAAAATTTGGACTGAACAAAATTGTAAATTTGGAGCAGTAGTTGAAAAATAATTAGGTTTTTCCAACGGTGGTCGGCCGACCATTGTTGGAAATATATACAAAAATACCATTTTCTTGAAAATGACTTCACACCAGGTGCCATAATTTTATAGGATGCTTTAGACTGTCATTTACCAACATCCTAGTAAGGTATTTCGTAAAAACTTTGTAGTTTTATTTTTCGATG